CAGCAGCAGCAGCAGCAGCAGCAGTGAGAGCAGAGCGAGTAACAATAGCGGAGATACTGCAATTACAGTAACCAACATCTTTCATTTCAATCCTGGTAAGCCCTCTGGTAACAAACTTCCCCTTTGTCCGCCTTATCCTCAATTCCCTTTGCCCCATCCTCCATCGTCCATTCTCCCACTCGTTTTAATCTCGCTTCTGCCACATCAGCACATGCGCCACATTCCTCCCCCCTCCCCACTTTGCCCAGCCTTCGCCTCTCAGTTCGCCTGTGATCGTTACCTCATCACCTGGCCTGGTAATGTCCCGCAACCCACCCTGGGGAACAGGTTTGAAAACTGCCTGCCTCTAAACGTTTGTCCTTCTCTTTCCCCTGCCCCTGCCTCACCCCCATACCCTCCCCTCGTTTCCCAGCTTTCGCTTCTCAGTTCGCCTGTGACCGCTACCTTGTCGCCTGGCCTGGCCTGAGAACAAGCTGGCATTATGCCGAACGTTAATTGTCCCTCCTTCCCATCCTCTGCCCCTGCGCCTCCCTCCATCGCCCAGCTTTCGCCTCTCAGTTCGCCTGTGACCGCTACCTTGTCGCCTGGCCTGGTAACGTCCCACAACCCACCCTGGGGAACAGGTTTGAAAACTGCCTGCCTCTAAACGTTTGTCCTTCTCTTTCCCCTGCCCCTGCCCCACCCCCATACCCTCCCCTCGTTTCCCAGCCTTCGCCTCTCAGTTCGCCTGTGATCGCTACCTTGTCGCATGGCCTGCAAACGTCCCTCTCCCCCACCAACAGACGCTGGGGGCCAGGCTCGCATACCGTCTAACTTCAGCTTTAAGTGTCTCTCCTTCCCTTTCCCCCCCCCCCTCCCCCACTCCCAACCCAATCCCTTCCTCTTATCGCCCAGCCTTCGCCACTCAGTTCGCATGTGATCGCTACCTCGTCGCCTGGCCTGCAAACGTCCCACACCAACCCATGCTGGGGGCCAAACTCGCATACCGATTAACTTCAGCTTTAAGCGTCCCGTTTGTGTACGCTCCCAGTCACAACGCGCTGCTGTGCCTGCGAAAGGCAGATTCCTCTGAGCACTTAGGTAAGAGTGAGCAGCAGCACTTAGCTGAGAGTCAGCACTTAAGTGAGAGTCGGCTACTGGCTGAATTAACTCCCGAGTTACAGGGAGTAGTGGCAGGGCTACAGTACTTCGGGAGGTCGTGGGAGACACGGAGTGTAGCTGGTGCTGTGGCAAGTGGAGATGCAACTGGGGCTGATGTAACAGGGGAAGCAGCAGATGTAACGGGGGCTGCATCAGATGAAACGCTTGCCATAGGAGATGTGACGGTTGCTTCAGAAGGGGCCGAAGACTGGACTGTGAGCAGTGGTGACGTGGCGAGGCTGCTGTACCGCCAGGTGGAATTGGAATGCCAGCTGGCCGATATGGCCGATATGGCCGATATGGGAGGTTACAGCTTGGGCAGCAGCAGTGGCAGCCTTAGCAGCAGTCCTAGTAGCAGCAGTGCCAGCAGCAATGGTAACACCAGCAGCAGCCGCAGCAGCGTTAGCATGGATGTGAACAGAATTCTGAAACCTGTTCCGTCCTTCTCTTCAGTTTCTTTTTTCGGGCAGCCCGCACTTGTCATCGACATCAGAAGCAGGCGTGGAGTTCCCTTGAAAGAAATCCTCGCTATAAGCTCACCCAGTAAGCTTCTTGATGCCCTTGTGAAAACACCTTTCCGGTCCAAAGCTGCTCTGATAACAGCATTAGAGCAGCTGGGTCCAAAATCGGGGCGGCTTTATCAATGGCTCATGCGGGTTACCTCAACGGAGGAGATTCGAAAACGTTTTGAAGAGGCGGAACCGTCGACGGTTCTTTTCGTCGCGGATGGTTTTCACTGGCTGCCCGAGTACCTGGAACTTGTCATCTGCCCGGAGAACGAGAAAATCTTGAGAGAATTAGGGTTTGATATGGGTAGTGTTCGAATGGTAACTCCACTTCCATCTGTTCTCCCGGATCCCGACTCGCCCATATTCAAGAGATTGCCTCTTCGCTGGTCAGTCAAAATTTTATCTGCCCAGAGCAGGTCTCGGGCCCGGTTCTCAAGGTCGACCTAAGCGGGCAGTTGAAAGAAGTGGGTGGAAAGGTTTTGCTGCCCCTAGATGGGTCGGTCACAATCATTCGAAAAGCCATTCATCGACACGGGATGTACCAAACTCCAGAAAATCCCCTTCAAATAGGTCTATTGTATGTGTCCCCCCCGGGTAAGCTATCTGCCTTGTACGCTGACTCTGAGCTGTTTATAAAGGAGATGATGGGGCAGCTGCGCCAGCTGGGTGTAGCTAGTGCAGAGAGGACTCAAATGCGCAAGATAGTGTGGGAACCTAGAAACACGACTTTGGAGCAAGGGAGATTGGAGGAGAGATTGGGAACAGTAGTGAAGGGAGAAGAAGGGTTGAAAGGAGAAGAAGGATTGCGGCAGGATTCGAGTGGTGATGAGGAGGAGTTGAGGCGGTTCATGGTTCAAGAGGTGCGCATCTTGAAAGAGACAGGGACGGAGTTTCTCGTTGTGGTGACTGGTTTCGGGAAAGGCATTGGGGAGCAGGGCTCGAATGCTGCTGCTGTTGTGTGGCGCGCACTGCAGCATGCGACTGGAGTGATTGAGGAGGATTTGAATGGAGGTATCAACACATGTGTTGACAACACCAGCACCAGCAGCAGCAGCAGTAGCAACAGCAATAGCAGCGGCAGCAGCAGTAGTAGCAGCGGCAACGGCAGCACAAGCAGCAGCAGTAAAGCATCTACCATCTCCTCCCCTCTCCCATCCCACATGCTCACTCCAACCACCTTCGCCACTCCAAATGACTCCCGCACATACTTCACCTCCCTGCTCTCCTCCTCCGTGGAAAAAATCGCTGTCAAGGCCGGTGCTCTCCCTTACATCCTCTCGCCCGGTTTCGGCGAATACACCGACTGCATAATCGGCGTTTCAGCCCATGCTCCCTCCTCTCCTGCCCATGCTGCCTCCTCTCCTGCCCATGCTCCCTCACCTCCTGGTGACTCTTCAGGGTCTTCGAATAGGGATGAGTATTCCTCACCTCCCTCATCTCTCTCTGTCCCGAAGGGGCTGGAGTGGGATGAGCCGGCAGTAATTTCGATCTTTGGGCCGAGGGGCGAGGTTCGGAGGGTTGTGCCCGTGCTTTGTCCTGTAGCGGGGGAGGCGGTACCTGTCATGGCCCTTGAAAGGGCGATAAGGGAGGAGGATGTGAGGGGAGGAAGGGTGGTGGTGATGCGATATGGGCGGTTTCAGGAGGGAGAGGTTGAGTGCGTTAAGAAGGTGTTGGGTAGGGTTGGTGCCCGAGGGACGTTTGTGGAGGTGGGGGAGAGCGGGCGGTGCAGGTTGTTTCAAGCATCAGCAGCACAAGGAGCAGCAGCAGCACCAGCAGCAGCACCACCAGCAGCAGCACCACCAGCACCACCAGCACCACCAGCACCACCAGGAGCACCAGGAGCAGCAGGAGCAGCAGGCCCAGCAGGCCCAGCAGTAAAAGAACCAGCGGAAGCAGCAACACCAGAAGCAGCAGCGGCGGTAGCAGCACTAGCACCACCAGGAGCAGCAGGCCCAGCAGTAAAAGAACCAGCGGAAGCAGCAACACCAGAAGCAGCAGCGGCGGTAGCAGCACCAGCACTTTCAGAAGCGACTTTGCCAGCAGCAGCAGGGGAGGACGTGTACTTCCCTCTTAGTGCTACCAGTGCAGCCTTAGCGGCAGTGGCGGCGCCAGCAGCAGCAGGGGAGGACGTCTATTTTCCTCTCGGCGCCACCACCGCAGCCTTAGTAGCATCCTCTATAGCGCGGGGCATGCCCCAACCCGTTTCAGTGGAGATCCGGGAAAATGACTTAAATCTGTCGCTGCTGCAGGTGGTGACGGTGGTTGCTGGGATGAGGAGGGTGCAGCATGGGGCGCTGGGGAAGGCTAAATTGCCAGGAGCAATCAGCTGCACTGACAGAAATGGGTTTCCATAAAACACACTGCGGCAGGTGGTGACGGTGGTTGCTGGGATGAGGAGGGCGCAGCATGGGGCGGAAAGGCTAAGCATCCGGGAGCAATCCACTGTACGGACAGAAACGGCTTCCCGTGAAGTGAAACACACTCTTTGAGGATTCAAGGGGCATGGCGTGCAGCATGCCCCAGCCCATCTCAGTCGAGACTCTGGGCAATGACTAGAAGCTGACTCTTGATGGAGATCTGGGCCACTCCTTTCGTATTCCAGGAGCATGCACCAGGGCATTTCATTAGGGTCCCTGGGAAATGACTAAGGGCTGTCACTGCAGCAGGTAGTGACGGTGGTGGGTGAAACGGTGTTATCTTTACGATAGGTACCGTAGTGACAGTGGTGGTGAGTAGGATGAAGAGGGTGCAACATGGAAGCCTGGGGAAGGCGAAGCTGCCAGGGATTAACTGCAGAGAATGACTAGCGTGGTTTGGTGCATCCGAGGTATGCATGTGTAGCCACACCTTTACCTAGTAGATGGTGGTACTCCAGTTGTTCTGATAACAGTACCACCCAGAGTATCCATTACCAGAATTTTGCTGTGATTTCTCATATCTACACGTTTTTTTATTGCGTATTCAAGAGCATGCCGTAACATAACCAACGAGGAAAACTGTTGTGTGAATTCTCCAAATTTCGATAGAGGTTACGCCCAGTGTAACTAATAAAGAATACCATATGCATGCAAGTTTTATATGTTTCCATCCATCACTTTAGGCTGATACAGCTCATCTGATCACCTTCTATCGAATCTCATCTTCCTTCGCTTCACCCCCCTTCCCTCTCATCACCCCTCCCTCTCTTCCCCTCCTAATCGGAGCCACTATCCGATAGCGCCTCGGCTCCCATAGATCCTGTCGCGTGTGTCTGCATCTTGGTGTTACCGATTCATACGCTTATCGCAATTTTCAGATTATCGTTCAGCTCGACTTCTATTTTTATTTTATCTAGAATCCTAAGGCCTGAAGATGGCGTACGATCGGTACACCCGCGGAACTCCGACTTTCGACGACCTAGACGATCGCGATGCGCCGTACGGCGATCCGACCGCGTCGTCCGACAACGACGGCGTTCCCGACGTCGTTAAGACGTTCGTCGCGTTTCTCTACCGTCACATTCGCGAAAACAATGTCTACGAGATCCACCAGATGTACGAGAACAGCTTCCACAAGTTATCGCAGCGACTCTTTAGCGAATCGCCGTGGCCGACGGCGGAGGCGATCGCGCCGGTGGTGGATCACGACCACGTGTTCTGCCTGCTGTATCGCGAGCTCTACTTCCGCCACGTGTTCGCGCGGCTCCAGCCGACGCTGGAGCAGCGGTGCGAGTCCTGGGAGAATTACTGCAGCCTGTTCCAGGTAGGGGATTCTAGTGCGGTTCAGTAGGAATCTAAAACGGTTATTAGGGGTTATTGTCGTACTTAGACGAGTCCTGGGAGAACTACTGCAGCCTGTTCCAGGTAGGGGATGTTAGTGCGGTTCAATGAGAATTGCAACGGTAGTTATGTTTCATTGTCATACTTGGCGAGTCCTGGGAGAAGTACTGCAGCCTGTTCCAGACGAGATTCGCGAAACTATTAACGGAAATATTGACGGAAATCTTGACGGATTAATTGAAACGTTGACGGAAATTATGACAGAAACTGTGACGAAAATGTTTTGCTCGTATGTGTGAGCCCTAATTCTCCCGTACAAACCCTCCCTCCTGACCGTTTAAACCCTGTCTCCTTTTCCCCCCCAGGTGGTGCTGTTGGGGAATCTGAACGTGCAGCTGCCCAACGCGTGGCTGTGGGACATGGTGGACGAGTTCATCTACCAGTTCCAGTCCTTCTGCCACTTCCGCGCGAGAGTCAAGAGCCGCACCGATGAGGAGAACGCGGCCCTCAAGCAGTGCGGAAATGTAAGTGCTCTGCTCTCTGCTCTCTTCTCCTTGGTCTCTGGTCTCTGGGCGTGGCTGTGGGACATGGTGGACGAGACGAGTTCATCTACCAGCTCCAGCCCTTCTGCCACTTCTGCGCGTGAGTCAAGAGCCGCACCGATGAGGAGAAGGTAACGTGACAGAGCAATGTTCCTGGCCACCGAGGGGTATGACATGATGGGCGCAGGCGGCAGCAACGCGCGTGTTGGGTTACCTGTGTCTCTCTCACACACCTTCCTTCCCCTCCTCCTCACCCACTTTTCTGCTCCGCTTTTCCCTTCCTTCTCTCCTTCCCTCCCCCACTTCCTGCAGGTTTGGAATGTGTATGGGGTCCTGAACTACCTGCACGCCCTGGTCGCGAAATCCAACATCCTGGCTATTCTCGATGACGACTCAGACGGAGGAGCAGCAGCCATGTTCCTGGCGACTGAGGGCTAAGACATGACGGGCGCGGGGGGCAGCAACGTGGAGCGCGTGTTGGGGTACCTGTCTCTCTCTTCTCTTTTTCCTCCACACCACCCCCTTTTCTGCTCTCCATTTCCCTGCCTTTCTCCGCCTCTACCCCCCCAGGTGTGGAACGTCTACGGAGTGCTCAACTATCTGCACGCCCTCGTCGCGAAATCTAATATTCTTGCGATCTTGGACGACGATTCAGACGGGGGAGCAGCGGCCATGTTCCTGGCCACGGAGGGGTATGACATGACGGGCGCGGGGGGCAGCAACGTGGAGCGCATGCTGGGGTACCTGTCTCTCCCCTTCCCCTCTTGTCCTCCCCTCACCCCGTCTTCCCCTCGGCTTCTTCCCGTATTCTCCCAGGTTTGGAACGTGTATGGAGTGCTGAATTACCTGCACGCCCTGGTCGCGAAATCCAACATCCTGGCTATTCTCGATGACGACTCAGACGGGGGAGCAGCGGCCATGTTCCTGGCCACGGAGGGCTATGACATGACGGGCGCGGGGGGCAGCAACGTGGAGCGCGTGTTGGGGTACCTGTCTCTCCCCCTGCTCTCCTCACCCCTTTTTCTTCTCCGATTTTCCTCGTTCTTTCCCCTCCTTTCCTCCCGCCGTCTCCCCATCTCTCCCCAGGTGTGGAATGTCTACGGAGTGCTGAACTACCTGCACGCCCTCGTGGCAAAATCGAATATTCTCGCAATTCTCGATGATGATTCGGACGGGGGAGCAGCAGCCATGTTCCTGGCGACGGAGGGCTACGACATGACCGGAGCAGGGGGCAGCAACGTGGAGCGCGTGTTGGGGTACCTGTCTCTGGTGGGGCTGCTGCGCGTGCACTGCCTGCTGGGGGACTACCACACAGGTCTCGTGAAGCTGTCGCCTATTGATGTTGGGAGGCCGGGCGTGTTCCAGCGAATCACGGGCTGCCACATCACCGCCATGTATTACTATGGCTTCGCCAGCCTGATGTTACGCAGGTGAGCAAAAAAGGGATTCGATTCGGGAAGGGGCGCTGGAGGCAGGGGGGAGCAGGGAAAGGGTGTGGATGGTATGGGCAAGTGCTGGGGTACCTGTTGCTGGTGGGGCTGGGGGGAAGTGAGTAGGGTAGGGCCGCATGGTTTTTGAGAATTCTCAAAAGTGCTGGGGTACCGTTTTTGAGGCGCCTCAGAAGTCGCGTGCTGGGGTACCTGTCGCTGGTGGGGCTGCTGCGCGTGCACTGCCTGCTGGGGGATTACCACACCGGATTGGTAAAGCTCTCGCCCATTGATTTTGGGAGAAAGGGGGTTTTTCAGCGACTCACGTGGATGCTATCAGAGCATTCAACCAGGTGTTGCTGACGCGCTCCAAGGCCAAGCAGTACCACGAGTCGCTTTTAATGCCCCTAGTGCTCTCCTCCTTTCCTCCCTATGCAGGTACGTGGATGCTATCAGGGCATTCGACCAGGTGTTGCTGACGCGCTCCAAGGCCAAGCAGTACCACGCATCCCCTTTAATGCCCCTAGTGCTCTCCCCCTTTCCTCCCTATGCAGGTACGTGGACGCTATCAGGGCATTCAACCAAGTCCTTCTGACGCTCTCCAAGGCCAAGCAGTACCACGAGTCACTCCCCCAATACGACCAGATTCTCAAAAAGACCGAGCAGATGTACTCACTGCTCACCATCTGCCTCTCATTCTCTCTCCCCCCCTCTTCCCTTCCACCTCTCCCCACCTCTCCCCACCCGTCCCACCTCTCCTTCCTCCCATCCTCTCGCCCCCTTTCCCCGCTCCCACACAAACCGTCCCAGGTATGTGGACGCCATAAGGGCATTCAACCAGGTGCTCCTGACGCTCTCCAAGGCCAAGCAGTACCACGAGTCGCTGCCCCATACGATCAGATCCTGAAGAAGACAGAGCAGATGTGCACCCGCTGTGCTGCTCATGCCCTCCTCGTCTCTCATCCCTCCCACCCTTCCATCCCCCCCTCCCTCCCATCCTCTCGCCCCCTTTCCTTTCTCCCATGCAAACCCAACTCCTAATCTCCCTCCCAGGTACGTGGACGCCATAAGGGCATTCAACCAGGTGCTCCTGACGCTCTCCAAGGCCAAGCAGTATCACGAGTCGCTCCCCCAGTATGACCAGATTCTCAAAAAGACCGAGCAGATGTACGCGCTTCTCGCCATCTGCCTCTCGCTCTGCCCGAACGGAAAACTTTTGGAGGAGTCGGTCAACGGGCAGCTGCGCGAAAAGTTTTCGGACAAGATCCAGAGGATGCAGCGCGGCGACGAGGCAGTTTTCGACGAGCTGTTTTCGTTCGCCTGCCCGAAGTTTGTCACGCCTGCCCCTCCGGTGGAGGATGGGGGAGAGCCGGTCAATTACAACCAGGTACCGCATTACACCGCTTTATACCCATACTGAGTCTGTACTGACTGTCTGTAACTTACTCCCTCCTGAAGTTTGTCACGCCTGCCCCTCTGGTGGAGGACGGGGGGAGCCGGTCAATTACAACCAGGTACCGCATTAAACCGCTTTTTACCCATACTGTGTCTGTAACTGACGCTTTGCCAGAAGTTGGTCAAAGAGGGGTATGATTTTTCTCAAGTGGCTTCTTGGGGAGGGGGAGGGGGAGGGGGAGGGGGAGGGGGAGGGGGAGGGGGAGGGGGAGGGGGAAGGGAGGGGGGAGGCGAACACGTCTCTAGCAAAGTGCTTCCTGGGCGTCTGTTGGTGCTTCTTCCTTTATCATTTAGCAACAAACCGCACCCCAACCCACTCCGCCGCAATTTTACCCCACTTAACCCCCTACCACCCACCAGGACGCCTACCGTCTGCAGCCGAAGCTCTTCCTGGCGGACGTGCGCTCTCAGCTCGCCCTGCCGGTCTGCTATTGAAGTTTCCTTACCTCCCATCCCCCCCCACTCCACCCCAACGCACTCCATTGCAACCCCCCACTACCAGGACGCCTGCCGTCTGCAGCTGAAGCTCTTCCTGGCGGACGTGCGCTCTCAGCTCGCCCTGCCAGGGCTGTTGTTGATGCTTCCTCAACCCCACGCCCCCCACCCAACCGCAACCCCGTGCCACCCATCAGGATGCCTACCGTCTGCAGTTGAAGCTCTTCCTGGCGGATGTGCGCTCTCAGCTCGCACTCCCGGGCTGCGTCTCTCTCTCTCTCTCTCTCTCTCCTCTCTCTCTCTCTCTCTCGCTCTCTCTCTCTCTCGCTCTCCTCTCCTCTCTCTCATCTCTCTCTCTCTCTCTCTTCTCTCTCCTCTCTCTCTCTCTCTCTCTCTCTCTCTCTCTCTCTCTCTCTCTCTCTCTCTCTCTCTCTCTCTCTCTCTCTCTCTCTCTCTCTCTCTCTCTCTCTCTCTCTCTCTCTCTCTCTCTCTCTCTCTCTCTCTCTCTCTCTCTCTCTCTCTCTCTCTCTCTCTCTCTCTCTCTCTCTCTCTCTCTCTCTCTCTACTCCACCATCTCCCTGCCTCCAGCCAGCCAGCCACCACCCCACCTCACATCCTAGGCTCCCTCAGCTCGCCCTCCCAGGGCTGCTGTTGCTGCTTCCTTGCCTCCCATCCCACCCCATCCCACTGCTCTCCACCACCCCCTTCCCCTTCATCAGGACGCCTACCGTCTCCAGCTGAAGCTGTTTCTCGCCGATGTTCGCTCTCAGCTCGCCCTCCCAGGTCTGCTGTTGCTGCTTCCTTCCCTCTCATCCCACCCCACCGCAACCCACTCCACCACCCTCCACCAGGACGCCTAACGTCTGCAGTTGAAGCTGTTTCTTGCTGACGTGCGCTCGCAGCTCGCCCTCCCAGGGCTGCGATCCGCTCTCTCTCTCTACTCCGCCATCTCCTTCCCCCATAACCAGCCCTTCTATTGACCTCAACCCCTTGTCCACCCATCAGGACGCCTACCGTCTGCAGCTGAAGCTCTTCCTGGCGGATGTGCGCTCTCAGCTCGCCCTGCCAGGCCTGCGATCTGCCCTCTCTCTCTACTCTGCCATCTCCCTGCCCCGCCTCTCCACCTTCCTGGATGTTTCCGAGACCACCCTCAGGTGAATCGTCAGGTGGTTCCACATGTGCCGCTTCAGGTGAATTATGTCAGGTGCGGTTTCAGGTGAAGTAGCAGGTGTTGTTGTCAGGTGTCGTTTCTGCAGGTGTTCTGCAGGTGAGTCTGCAATGCGATTCCAGAGCTTCCCATCTCTCGAAATTCAGGAGCTTTCAGGTGCTGCCCGGTGCTTTCGCCGTTTCCATAATCAGCTTTTGCTGTGCTCGGTGCTGCCCAATGCTCTCGCTGTACTCATTCGTTGCTTCTCCCCTCCCGACCGCTCTCCACACCTCTGTACCACGCTTCACACCCTTGGACCACTCTCCACTTCTCTGCACCACTCTCCACTCTACAGGACCGCGCTGATCACCCTTCGCCACAAGAACACGGTTGTGGAGGCGGATGGCTCGGTGCTGCCCAATGCTGAGCTGGACTTCTACATCGATGATGTAAGCAGTGCTTGGGATGATGTCAGCAGAGTTTGGGGTGATGTAAGCGAGCAGTGCATGGGGTGATGTGCATTGCATGGGATGTCAGCACTATGTGGGATGTTCTTATGAGAGTGCTTTTGAGGTGATTTAACTTTTTAACAATCTCTGACACACAACACTCCCCCTCCTTTCCCCCCTTGCCCACCTTCCTGAGTTCTTCTTTCCTCCTTCCAATTCTTAACCTCGAACTGAAATTAATTCACATGGTTGACCATTAAACCAAGTGTCGCGATACACTCCCCCACTTCCCCCACATCTCCTCCCTCTCCCCATTCCCTTTGTTGGGAATCTATCCTCTCTCTCGGGACCCGATACAAGTGGTTGGCCATAAAACCATGTGTTCCTGACCATGTATACACACTCCCTCTACCTCCCCCTTCCCCAAATGACTCCCTGCGACTTTCTCTCTCAGGATTTGGTCCAGGTGGTTGATCGTAAGACCACAAGGCGGTTTGGGGACTATTTCATCAAGCACATTCTCAAGGTACTGAGCTGCTGTGGGCCAAGTTTAGCGGGGTTTTGTGTGGTGGTGCTGGTGTGTGCGTGGTGGGATGTTTGACGTCTTCTTAAATCAACCATCCTTACAATCTCTTTCATTTGTTTTGTGTTTCTGTCTCGTTTGTCCAGTTTGATGAGCTTGCAGGGCAGCTTGAGAACGTTCAGCTAGTAGTGTAAACCAGATTAAACGTGTAATAGACCTTCGTGTAGCCCATGCACGGAAACAGGGGAAAATAATAATTTTCCAAAATTAGATTAGACAAGGCGGGTGGGTGGGGATTCACAGGGGTGAAAAGAGGAAGCCCTTTTTGTTGTACACTTCATTGTGTTACTTTATACATCCACTAAAAGTCTCTTGGCAACCTGGAGCAGCTATCAAGTCTTGTATGCCGCCTATTGTTACCTTAACTGTTGCGGTTGGTTAACTACACTGCTCAGTGTACCATATATCGTAACTCAGCAGCTTGTTCACTAAAAAAAATCTGACCATAAGTATCATATTCAAGGCTACTTGATCATAAGTAATGAAAAGTCGAGATCGTCACAGACACATTCAATTCAATGATTGCAACCTGCTGAAGATCCTAGTAGAAGTATGGATTTGGGTGTCCTCATTTCTGCATTGCAGGACCTGGCAGAAAATTGTGAGATGTATAAGGATCTCTGTATAAAGAGGACAGGTGGTGCGCCACCATGAACTATCACACTTCACTCCCCTCCGCTTGCCCCCCCACCCGCTCCCTCTTGCTCCGCTTTGCGAAGGATCGAAATTTCGAGTGGTTCAAAATGGTGCTGAAAATTGTAAATGTTAGGAAAAGAATTTCAGTACGGTGGAATCAGCAATTATAGGAGCGATCGTGCAAAATTGCTAGAGGTGCTGTGTCAGCTTTCACATTTTCTCAAGTCCCCCCAACCTCGAGAATCCCGTATCCCCCCTCACCGCATTCTTCCCCTGATCTCCGGACCCCTCACCCATCTCCAACTCCCCCCCACTCCCCCCCAACTTGTTTTTTCCCCTTCACCTTCTGTCCCCCTCCCCTCCTCCTGCTCGCTCCTGCCTCTCCGCCTTCTCTCGTATTTGCCTCCTAGCTGCTCCTAACTTCGCCTCTTTTCCCTTAGTCTTCACAGCACAGGACTAATTTCTTCGTCCTCCCTCCTCCCCTTCCCCGTGGATAGTCGCTCCACCTAAAATCAGCCAAAATGGTTCGTTGCCGTCCCGAAGTGTAGTATCGAAAACATTGTTGAGATATCGATCAATAACACGGCAAAAATCCGTTAGGGTGTTCCGGGCTATTATTAGGGTTTCCTAAGTTCGATCGCTGTTGAGCCTTTTACGAGCATTGCTGTAAATTTGACCTCCTGTTCTAGGCTCACTATCATCAGCACTGACGATTCGTTCGGATTGCCGTTCGTTATTGTCAGATTCATCATCTATGTCGCTTACTTCTTGTTTTTTCACCAACATCTTCGTTAAACGCTTCACTGTGGCCATTTTTCTCTTGATTTGACCAGCCGTTCCGGAGATACATGGAGGTGGGCCGGGTGTGCATGGTCAACTTCGGTCCCATGTACGGCAAGCTCGTCGTCGTCGTCGATATCATCGACCAAAACAGGGTGAGCAGGAGCCGTTGACCGCGTTGACTTGGGTTGACCCCGTTGACCCCATTGACCGGCAACTCTGGTCCCATGTACGGCAAGCTCGTCGTCGTCGTCTATATCATCGACCAAAACAGGGTGAGCAGGAGCCGTCGACTGCGTTGACCCGTTGACCCCGTTGACCCCATTGACCGACAAGTACGAGGCACCTCATTGCGCAAGCTCGTCGTTGTCGATATCGATCAAAACAGGGTGAGCAGGAGCCGTTGATCTCGTTGACTTCGTTGACCGCGTGACTCCGTTCACCGACAAGTAAGGGTGCTTCGACAAGGAGGGCAGCCCATTACCACAGTCGCATACCCCATGCACGGCGACGTTTCCTTTTCGTCGACATTTGCTTGAATTACGGAGTGTCACAAGAGAGCTAGAGGAGGCGAGGGGGAGAAGCGAGCTGCCGGCATACGCGTTGGTGAATCACGGCGGCGCAGGATATGGAAACGGTGCATAGCTCAGGAACGTAGCCGAGAGGGTGTGTTAGGTCACGCGATTCTGGTGCAGCCTCAGCGATTGGCGCTTTTCAAAAAGGGGTTTAGCAAACGGTGGATAGGCGGGTGGATCAGGAGGGAAAGAGTATTGCGTCACAGCGGTTCCGGTGCAGCAGACGCGAACGGCGTATGGCGTATCTTCAGGCCGATTAAAAAAGAGGTCATTTGTATGGCGGATAGGTGGTGCATCAGGAGGGAGGGTATATTGCGTCACAGCGAATCTGGTGCAGCTGACTCAAACGATGTGAATCTGAGTCGACTCTATAAGAGGCTGGGCGAAGACTGGGCTACGCGAACGGTGAATAGTCTGTGTATTAGGATAGAGAGTGCATTAGGATAGAAAGTGCATAAGGTCACGACAATTCTAGTGCAGCTGATTGAAATCACCTCCAGCGGCAACGGCAGATATCAGCAGGCGCTTCGACAGCGTAGATAAGCAGGCGTGTCGAGGGCAGGCTTGAACAGCCATGTTCACAGCAGCAGCGGAGGAACCGTTTTATGGCGATGATGCACTATAGCTTAGTCAGTGACCTTTTTTAGGAAATCTTTTATAGCCAAGAATCACCAGCGGCCAGGGCCATTACAGTACTGTGCAGCACTGGCGTTCAACTAGGGTTTCATTCCTCTCCTTGGGTACCGTCGGTTTACGTGGATCAGGGTTTTTAACGATTCACACTGACTAGGGTTTCAACAGTCGCCGTCGACTAGGGTTTCGGCGATTCCCGTCGGTCAGGGTTTCAGCCACTTGTATCGGATCCACGCACGGCTGCCGTAGACAATGCCATTCTGAGTGAAGATGGGCGCGAGACGCTGCAAGTTTTTTTCTTTCGAGAAGCCTCAGATTTCGATGCCGCAAGGCCTTGTTTTCTTACCGTTTTGCGCCGTTCTCGACACGGAACCCGCCGTGATGTGACCTGTTTCTTTGTTCCGTTGGCGTATAGTCTGAATAACTGGTGGGCGGCTCGGAGCGACAGCAGTCTAACTACAATCGCTCTTCCTTGCAGACATCACCAGGCCTTACCCTCACCTCCTCCTCTCATCCCCTGTTCTCCCTGCACCCTTCCCCCGTGCGCCCTATTCCCCGTTCCCCGTGCGTCCCCCCTCCCCCTTGTCCGCGGAACATCAGGCCCTGGTGGGCTTCACGGCATGGAGCGCCAGCAGATCAATTACTCCACAAGCTGACACCACCCCCTCCACTCTCCTGCCCTCCCCCAGATCCCCCTGCGCCCTTCCCCCCTGCTCCCTTGCCCCGTGTGCCCTTCCCCCGTGCGCCCCGCCCCTTCAGGCCCTGGTGGACTTCACGTGCACGGAGCGCCAGCAGAACAAATACAAGCGCCTGTCGCTTACGGAATCACCAGGCCTTTCCTCTTCTCTCCCCGCTCCCCGTCCCCCCCTGTGCCTCTTCCCCTGCCCCGCCCATCCCAATGCGCCCCTCCCCCTGCGCGCTTCCCCCTGCGCCCTCCGTGCGCCCTTTCCCCGTGCGCCCTTCCCCCTTGCGCCCTTCCCCCGTGCGCCCTTCCCCCGTGCGCCCTTCCCCCGTGCGCCCTGCCCCTCAGGCCCTGGTGGACTTCACGGATATGGAGCGCCAGCAAATCAACTTTAAGCGCCTGTCGCTCACGGATATCACCATCGACATTCCCAAGGCCGCCTCGAAGAAGGAGCTGCGCGCCGCCATTGAGGCCGGTGGTGAGTGGTGTTGCGCGGCTTTTGTTGGTCGAATGGCGCGATTTTTGGGGATTTATTTTTAGCTTTGAGGCGCATCAAAAGCTGGTTCCCGGACCTGTCTGGGTCGGGCGAATTAGGGTATGGAGTTCTGGTTGTGCTCATGCTCTCGTGCCTCTCGTGCTGCCAATTCTCGTACGGCTGATGGGATGTCGTTCGCTCTCTTCACCACCTCCCACTACCCTTTCCCCCTCGTTCTCGACCGCCTCTCCCTTGGCCCCCGTTTCCTCCCCTTCTTGCTCACTATTCCCGAATCTCTCCCTTCCGTTAGCATGACTCCCACATGATGATACACTTTTCACAAAAGTTTCAGCCTTGTCGTATGCGAGAGCATGCCTCTCGTGCTGCCGATTCTCATACGGCTGATGGGATGTCGTTCGCTTTTTTCAACACTCCCCATCACCCATTCCCCCTCGTTTTGGTCCGCCGCTCCCCCACGCCCCCATTTCCTTCCTTTCTTGCTTACTATCCCCGAATCTCTCCCTTCCGTTAGCATGGCTCCCACATGATGATACACTTTTCACAAGAGTTTCAGCCTTGTCGTATGCGAGAGCATGCCTCTCGTGCTGCCGATTCTCGTACGGCTGATGGGATGTCAGACTCTTTATCCTCCCCCACACACCACCCCCCTCCTCCCCCCCGCCGCTCCCCCGCTCCCCCGCTCCCCAGCTCCCCAGCTCCCCCGCTCTCTTCCGCGTCGTTCTCACTCTCGCGTTTCAACCTTTGTTTTAACAGAAGTGCAGAGCAATTAGGAGGCGAGCTCATGGGGGAGGAAGCTGCTGATCCAGAGAAAGCGGGCTGTGATAACCCATGCACTGGTTCCCTCCTCCCTCCCACCCGCCCCTTCGCCCCCACTTGCTGCTGTCTCTCTCCCCCCCCCCCCCCCCCCAACCCCCCGCTTCCCCTCGTTACTGTCACAACAGAGGTGCAGAGCAAGTGGGAGGCGAGCTCGTGGGGGAGGAAGCTGCTGATCCAGAAGACGCAACCACTGATCCATCTCCCCTACCTTTCCCCTCCCCACCAACCGGTCCCCTCACCCCACACAACCCCTATTCCCCCACGCGTTCCCACAACAGAGGTGCAGAGCAAGTGGGAGGCGAGCTCGTGGGGGAGGAAGCTGCTGATCCAGAAGAAGCGGGCTGCTCTAACCGACTTCGAGCGCTTCAAGATTGCCATCGCCCGCTCACAGGTACTGTAGATTTAAGGGCGGGGGGGGGGAGGAGGGGGGCATGGGGGGGCTCGTGGGGGAGGAAGCTGCTGATTCAGAAGAAGCGGGCTGCTCTAACCGACTTCGAGCGCTTCAAGATTGCTGCC